TGGTTATACCGGGTCTTAGTTGCAGCAGGCGGGCTCCTTAGTCGTGGCATGCATGTGGAATCTAGTTCCCTGACCAGGGATCTAACCCAGGCCCCCTGCATTGGGAGCGTGGAGTCTTATCCACTGGACCACAAGGGAAGTCACCTAGCCCACTGGCTTTTGACAAAGGGGCCAAAGTAATTCGACAGGGGGAAAGGATAGTTTTTTTTCAACAATTGTTGCTGGAACAATCCGATATTTATATGTAAAAACCATAAAACTCCACTCTTATCTCACATCATCCACAAAAAAATTAAATCAAAATAGGGTTTAGGCCTTAACAATGTAATTTAAAATCCTAAAATTATCAGTAGAGAACATCTTGGTGACATTAGGGTAGGTAAAGATTTCTCAGATAAGATGAAAAAATACAAAGTATAAAAGAAAAAGTTGATAAAATGAACTTCCTCAAAATTAAATATTTCTGCTCTTTAAAAATACTGTCAAGGGCTTCCCTGGTGGTGCAGTGGTTGAGAGTCCACCTGCCGATGCAGGGGACACGGGTTCGTGCCCCAGTCCGGGAAGATCCCACATGCCGCGGAGCGGCTGGGCCCGTGAGCCATGGCCGCTGAGCCTGCGCCTCCGGAGCCTGTGCTCCGCAACAGGAGAGGCCACAACAGTGAGAGGCCCGCGTACCAAAAAAAAAAAAAAATACTGTCAAGAAAATAAAGGAAGCCATTGACTGAGAGAAAATCATCATAATGCATATATCCAACAAAGGATCTGTAAGAAGAATACATAAAGAACTCTTATTTAACAATAACAAGACAAGCAATCCTCCAAAATGGGCAAAAGTTTTAAAGACGTTTCACTAAAGAAGCACGTGTCTAATAAGCACTTGAAAAGATGCTTACTATCATTAGACCTCAGAGAAATGCAAATTTAAATAACAATGAGGGACTTCCCTGGTGGCGCAGCAGTTAACAATCCTCCTGCCAATGCAGGGGGCACAGGTTCAAGCCCTGGTCTGGGAAGATCCTACATGCCGCAGAGCAACTAAGCCCATGCGCCACAACTACTGAGCCTACTCTCTAGAGCCTATGAGCCACAACTACTGAGCCTGCATGCCACAACTACTGAAGCTTGCGCACCTGGAGCCTGTGCTCCGCAACAAGAGAAACCACCACAGTGAGAAGCCCACATACCACAGTGAAGAGTAGCCCCCGCTCGCGGCAACTAGAGAAAGCCTGTGCGCAGCAAAAAATAAATAGATAAACTTATTTTTTTAAATAAATAAATAACAACGAAATTCCACCACACATCCACTATAATGGCTAAAAAATTTTTTAACTAGCAATACTAAACGTTGATGAGGATGCAAAAAAACTGGAGTGCTCAGGTTTCCCTGGTGGCACAGTGGTTGAGAGTCCGCCTGCTGATGCAGGGCACACGGGTTCGTGCCCTGGTCCGGGAGGATCCCGCATGCCGCGGAGCGGCTGGGCCCGTGGGCCATGGCCGCTGGGCCTGCGCGTCTGGAGCCTGTGCTCCGCAATGGGAGAGGCCACAACAGTGAGAGGCCCGCGTACCTCAAAAAACAAAACAAAACAAAACAAAACAAAAACTGGAATGATCATACACTCCTGATGAGAATGTAAAATGATACATTTTGGCACTTCTTATAAAGTTAAACATACACTTGCCATATGACTCAGACATTCCACTCCTAGGTATTTCCCCTAGAGAAATGTAAACATGTTAATGCAAAGACTTGTCCGTGACTGTTCATAGCAGATTTACGTATAATAGCTGTGACTCTTCATAGCAGATTTATTTATAATAGCTCAAAACTAGAAACAATCTACATATCTGTCACTAGGTGACAGAATAAACAAGTCTGGTATATTTATATGGTAGAATAAATATAAATATATTTTATATAAAATATAAAATATATTTTATATAAAATATAAAATATATTTTATATAAAATATAA